TCACATATCACCAATCATCATTTTTTTTTAATCAAAAAACGGGAACGTTTTTTTTTTTTTTTTGGTTTTTTTTTCTGTGTGTTCAAGTCGGCTATTCGAATCTGATTGGATCAAAATAGTGGCCCAATTTTTTTCGTTCGTTCGTTTCGTTTTGTTTGTTTGAGCACGTTGTTTGTTCGTGTTTATCTTGAGGTTCCGTTTTTTTGTTTTTTGTTTTGTAAAAGAATATTTTTTTCAATCTTTTTTGTTTTGTTTTGTTTGAATTTAGTGACAATCAAACATTATTCTCAAAGTGCTATTTTGAATTGTGAATTTTTTTCAAATTTTCCTATATCGACTTTATCCGATCATCTTTGACGTGTGTGTGTATGAATCCATCAAAATTTCAAAATTTTGATAATATTTTCAAAATCAGAATTAAATCTTTAAACAACTAATCTGGTAAGTCTGGACTATATTGATTTGCATTTTACATTTTTAAAACTTTTTATGTTTGTTTGTTTGTTATGTGATTGTCAAAAAAAATATAATGTTAACAACAACAACACATGTGTGGTTTGTTTATATATCACATTTTTTTTTCTCAAATATACATGTTGTTGTTTATATATATAAAAACAACATAACATGCATGTTTTTGAATTGAATGGCGCGATTTTTTCTTTTGATTTGATTTAAATTTTTGAATGAATAGAATTTTCTTTTTTGGTTTGACATTCTGTTATAAAAACTGATCAGCTGATTTTTTTTCTAGTTATTCAGAAATTTCACGAATATTCTATCACTAGGCTTGCTACTTGAATGAATTAATATCTAGGGTAAATGTTTTGTTTTTCAAAATTCAGTTATAATTTATCGATTCTTTTCAACCCGAATTTGATCATCATTTCATCCATGAATCCTTTTAGTTTACCCATTCAATTGTCCATTGCCAATAAATCTGGATAAAATAGCTAGGCATTTTTTTTTGTATCTAAAATGTTCCATTCGATAATGAGTACAATCAATCCTCGTTATCATCATCATCATCATCCTTATAATTCAGCCGATATCAGAATTGCCATCCAATTTTTTTTTTTAATTTCCATCTTTGTTTTTGTCGTCGTCGTCGTCGTTTCTCGTCCAAAAAAAGCCAATATGGCGGCGATGGCCAACTAGTGCTCACTTCGTTATACAAAACAGACTTATACAGAAAAACACACACACACACACAAACACAATCGACCGCTGTTTAGCTGGTTGGTTGGAAGGTTGATGATGATGATGGTGGTGGTGGTGGTTTTTGACGATGGCTATTTTGTCGATGATGGTGTTAATGGTGATGGAGCATGCGTATTTTTTTTTATTTAATTTCAAATGTATACTGTAATAATACAGTGAATACTCTTGTATAAGTACGTCAATTTTTTTACGTAAGATTTTACGTTGCAATTTAAATTCTTGATCCAAAATCCAATATTAGGATATTTTTTTTTCTCTTTATTCATTCTATTGTTTACCATTCTTGTTTTAAAAAATATCTAGGAATAGTTCAAATTTTATGAAATATTTGTTGAATTGAAAAAAATGATGATTACCGGTTTTTGTTTTTTATAATGTTGCCAGTTCAATGTAATTAGAAATCCGTGTTCCAATTTTCATTCAATAAAATCTTTTTCATTTTCCGAATCTTAATTTGTATCAAACGAAGATTGAAACGAATATTCACTGTAATAACACGCAAACACACACACACCACCACCAAGTTTCGAGACGCCTTTAGTCTCTTTTTCTGGGCAAAAAAAAAATTTTGTTCTTGTGCCTTGTCTGTAGATTTTTTCGTTGTTCCTGCGGCGGCTATAATATACGGCAATAACAACAACGACGACAACGAAAAACGATTGAGCCAAAATATCATCATCAGCGTCCTATATGAATATACATAATACACACACACACATATACATAAAGAGACAAAGATCGATTGATAGATAGCTAATAGTGTGCTCAATCAAAAAGAAAAATTAGGAAAAAGGGAAGAGTATCATTTTTTTTATGGTAGGTGTGTTTATGATGATGATGATAATGATATTGATTATTATTGGATAATTTTCTTGATAAAATTATTGTGATATTCTTTTTGGGAATTTTTGTTTTTAAATTTGGTTGATGTTTAGTTAGTCACATTTTTGAATAAATTCCGGTATGTAAATGAATTGTTTGTTTTGATTTGGTTTGGAATAATTTGCATCAAAAATGTTTTAAGATTCAATTGTCAGACCTGTTGTTGTTTTTGATTAATTTTATCATATTTCTTTTATTTGCATCATTCATTTATATAGATCTTTCATTGGTTTTCCATTTAAATATAATTACGATAAAAAATGGCCGAAGAAAATGATTCAACAACAACGGCACCGGTAACGAAAACAATTGAAGCCAATAATGATAATGATGTTGAACAAATCGATGATGATGATAATGATGAAGAAGAATTAAAAAATGATGATATTGATGAGGAAAAATCTAATTCTATTATCGATGATAATGATGATGAACAATTGTTGGATACAAATAATGATGATGATGTTGTATTGAATGAAAATGTTGATGATGATGAGGATAATGATAATAATGATCAACAACAAAATGATGTTGAATTGATTGATCTTTCAAATGATGGTAAGTGATTGATTTTTCCAGTTCCATTGATTTTGATTTTCTTCTTTTGTATATAGAAGAGGATGAAGAAGATGATGATAATAAAAATGATCAACAAGAAGATGATTCTTGTATAAACACCGTTGATGATGAAGATGAAGATGGTGAAGTTAATGATAAAGAAATTGAAATGATTGAAAATGGTGAAGAATCCGATTCAAAAGCTTTTGATGATGATGATGACGAGGATAACGATGAAGATCAAGTGGAAAATATTGATCAAGATAATGAAATGATCGATTCTATAAATGGTGATTCATCATCAATAAATCAGATGATTACCAATGATGATGGTTTACAATCAGCAGCAGCTAATGCATCTATTACTGATGAAATTATGATTAGTGATGGTGAAATCGATGGTGATGATGAAGATGATGATGGCGATGAAAATGAAAATGAAAATGATGAAGGAATGATTGTAACAGATCCAGCCGCTTCGACAACATCTAAGAATAATGATGTTGTTAGCAAATTAAATTCGAATAGTTTTGACAAACCACAGAATCTTGTTTCAAAATCATCATCAAATTCATCAAAAAATAATCAATCATTAATTAATAATAATAAAATAACTGAAGAAATTGTTATCGATGATGATGAAGATGAAGATGTTATTGATGATGAAGATGAAGTACAAGATTTATCTACAAATAAATCGACAACAAAACATGTTAAAGAACAACAACCACAAGAACAAGAAATGAAACAAGAAGATAATAGTAATAATAATAATAATAATGAAAAGACATCCATTGAAGATTTGATTCCAAAATTATCCGATGAATTGACTGGTTTTCCGAAATTTTTCCAAAATGTCCTTACATTGGGCGATTGTATAGCGATAAATAAAAAATCTCGTAGTGATATTGATATTGATAAAGATTATTCCATACTTGATTGTCCATCACAGGTCGTACCATTAATCATAAAACGAGCGAATAAATTTCCACCAAAATTGAAGACAGAAACATCGGACCAAACGACTGGACAAAAACCACCACCACCTCCACCATCACAATCAAATCAACAATCAAATAATACAAAAAATATGCTGACCATATCGGATTTTTATTCCAGTTCGGTGGGAAAATTTTTAATGGGTATCGGTTTAAGCCGCGTAAAACAATGGTATCATAAAGATGCTATTAATAAGGTACGAAAACAGATCCGTAAAGAAGGTGATGCTGAAGATCTAATGGAAGAGCTAAAGAAACAACAAGAATATCTGACTAGTTGCCGTGTTGCTAATGCATCATATATTTTTCCAACGATAAAATGTGAACATTGCGATTTTCGTAGCGAATTTCAATCGGTCATTCAAAATCATATGGCATATCCACATCAAACATCGCGTAAAGAATTGAAGTGCAATTATTGTCAATTTTCTACACGCGATTCAAAAGTGATCATTGATCATGTACAATGTATGCATGAACGTAAATGTTTGATTGAATTACCACCACAGTTATATGAATGTCCTATTTGTCCATATGAATCTGGTGTAAAATCTAAAGCGGCTACACATATAGCAAAATGTTTGAAATTTTTTCTACCCGAAAAATTATTGGCCAACAAAGATGATTATTTTCCTACGATAACGCCCAAACCAATCACACAGGAAGATATTAAAATCTATGAGGCAACATTACAAGCATTACGTTTTGCTGCATTAAATCCACAGACAAAAGTTCCTCAGATTGCTGGTTTACCACCTGGTCTACAACAACAAATGTATCTTGTGCAACAGCAACAAATGAATCGAATCGCACCATCAGGTCGTAATAAAAAACATCATCATCATCACCATCAACAATCAGCACAGCCATTCGATGCTCATCAAGCTCATTCTCATCCTCAACAACAACAACAACAGCAAGCGCAATCTTCAATTATGGCTCATTCATCATCATCATCATCATCATCTCATAAAATGAATCGTCATAACAATGCATCTAATCTGGCTGCCAATGCTAATCAAATGGCTTTACATTACCGTAATGCAGCCGCACCACAACTGTATAACATGTTAGCAAATACACAGATTGCAGCACAATTATTTCAGAATGCTGCCGCTGCCGGATTACAAGGTCTATCACCGAATGCGCTTAGTTTATTGAATAAACCGCATATGTTGGCCAAATTACAAAATATCACTCCGCCTGGTACTGTTTCCGGTTTATCGGCCTCACATCAACCACATCATTCATCCAGTCGTCATAATACATCGTCGAATAGTAAATCAAGTATCATATCAAATAAACATCATCATCATCAACAGCAGCAACAACAACCGAATAATTTAACGGTTGGTGCTGCAACTGTAGCAAACAATCCAAAAGGTTCATTTGTTATGTGTGAAATTTGTGATGGTTATATCAAAGATTTGGAACAATTGCGTACACATATGCAATGGATCCATAAGGTAAGTTTTGGAAATATTTGATAACAAAAAAAAAGAAATTTATTTTTAAAATTTTAAATGAAAAAATCAGGTACGAATTCATCCGAAAATGTTAGCTAGTAGACCACCACTTAATTGTCAGAAATGTCAATGGAGATTTTTTACTGATCAAGGCCTTGAACGACATTTACTCGGTTCACATGGTCTTGTTACATCGAACATGCAAGAAATGGTTAATCGTAATGAAGATGGTGGTCGTTGTACAATCTGTGGCCGTGTATTCACATCCAAATTGGTTACTCATATGAATCAGGTATGTTGTATTTTTTTTCATTCAATTTGAATGATAATTTTATTAATGAATTTTTCTTTTTTTTAAAAAACTTATTTTAGGCTCATAAAATCAATTTGAAACCCGCACATTTAAGCTATAAATGTACTGTTTGTTCGGCTACCTTTAATTTGTATCGATTATTCGAAAATCATGTCTATATGGTACATAGTGGATCGGTTAAACGTAATACAAATTCAGCTGATAATGAAACAACAATGCCACCAAGAAAAAAAGCTGCATTGGATATGTCAGCGAATGGCAATTGAACAACTATAGACGAAGCTAAAGAAATCCGTAAATATCAAATTCAACTTTAGTTCAAAAAAGAAAAAAAATTCAATATATGCCTGGCACACACTGACACATCTTATGCACACCCCAGCTTTATAGCTATCTATCAAATATTCTTTCATCATCATCAAAAAAAAAATTAGTAATTTTCTAATGAAAATACCAAAAAAAAAGAACGAATGAACGAACTAAATATCCCAATGATTTATCTCATTGATTTGTTGCTTCAAAATATGTATTGTAAATATATTAATTATTATTATTATACTACATTCTATTATTACAAAAAAAAATAACCAGTTTGAAAAAATAATTCTGGTTTTCTTTAATTTCAATACACAATCCACTCAAACAGAAAATCTGCATGTGAAAAAATGTAAAATTTCACACACACAAAATACACATACCACACATAAATGTGTGTTTTGTCCAAACGATGATTATTACAACAACAGAATCACCCACACACACACACAATTAAAACAACAAATTCTATTTGAAATTCAATCAATTGTTTCATTATTTATATGAGTATATCATCATCATCATTTTTTTTATTATTAAAAAAAAAATTTCCGTTTTTGTTTCTGGGAAAAAGGGTGAAAAAAACAACAAAATTTACATTTTTTTTTACACAAACACAAATAGGTCTGACCCGGATAATAAAATAACAAATTAAAAAAATTATGATTTAAAATTATAAAAATGACTATAATTTTATTGAAATTATAAAATTTATTTCTGTCAGAAAATTTCAAAAAGTTGAAAAATTAATTAAATTTCATTGAGCAATTTCATTGATTTATTGATGAAGACCATTTTTTTATTGGATTTGAAAATGATGGTTCTTTTCTTTATTCATTGACAAACAAACATTTATATACAAATAATAAACAATACAATAATAATAACAGTCATAGTTGAATAGTTGTTCATGATAGAAATATGACCATTGCTAATATTTTTATTTTTTTTTCGTAATTGAATCAAACGATTTATCAAACGATTTTGAATGATAATCGATTCCTGTTCAATTTGATATAATTGATATGTTTGATGAAGATCATATTGAGGAATTTTTTTAAACATTATCAAATGATTACACATATGATCAAGAACTTCAAAATCTTTTTGAACTAATTTCAACAAGTTAGCATTGTAATTGGGATTTTTTAAATCTTTTTCCACTCGTTTTTTAAGATTTTCTCCATCTTTGAACAATGCATCGGCAAGAATGAATTTTTTTTGATCATCATTATGGGTATCATTACCATGATGATGATCATCATCATTATGGGTATCATGATGATGATGATGTTGTTGTTGTTCTTCATAATCTTTCAATTCATATTCAATCGTATTCTGCATTAATACTAATTCTTCTTCAACTGATTGAAAAAATGGTCGATCAATATCATTAAGTTTTTCATTTTTCATAAATTGTTCAAGATTTACCATCAATTCATCAACATATCTCGAAAACGTTTGCATACGTCCGATAAACGATTGATCCGTTTCATTACCATATTTTTGAGCATTTTTTTCGATCATTTTTTTTAAACGATTATTATTGGTAATTAAACTGCGGGCAAGATTGTTTTCATAACCTTTAATTTCATTGGGTAAAATATGAAAACAAAACAAAATCAGAAAAAAAATTGATTTCATATTCAACTAACTTACCCGAAACAATCGCAACGATTGTCAATGTAAAAATCAATAAAATGTTGAATCGCATTTTGTCGAGAAAATTGATTGTTGATTTGTTTCACTCAAAAAAAATTAATGATGAAGATGATTGAACTGGTTAAAAGTCTAACCAATACTTCAGTATTTATATTACTGAGAACAATCAATTAATTACAATTATATTATTGAATTTTGTTTGTTTGTTAATCAACTACATTCAACATTGTTCATCATTGTTCTTTTTATATATACAATATTTGATGATCTTAATCCAACAAACTAGAAAAAAAACAAGTGACCTGTGAATTCCGTTGAATTGCTGTCAGAAAAAAACCAACAACAACAATATTGTTGTTCTTTTTTTTTCTTCTTTACTTATCTCTTATTCCAGTAATTAGTATTTTTTTTCCCCCCGTACATCGTTACAAGTAATTAAGCAATTGATCATCTTTTAGTGAGAAAGAAAATGTACCATACGTGACTTGTATCATTTGATTTTCATTCAAATCAACAAAACAAAGAAAGACAAAGAAGACAACAAAGAATATTCGAATATTCGAAACTGCACTATTTCTTCGCCATCTAGTGTCGACAAACACAATGATTGAAGATTTGAATTTGAAAATGAATTATAATTTGTCATTTTTTATTTTGTTTTTTATTTTATTGTTTTCAAAATGAAATAAAATTATTTGATTACAAATTACTAGTTCGTTTCTGCTGTTGTCGTTGTCGTTGACGATGTTGTCGTTGGTTGAATTGAATTGGAATCAGAAATGGTTTCATATTCGGAAATATTTTCCATTGTTTCATTTGCCGATGTTATTAATGAAGATGATGCTGATGATGCAGGCGATGATGGCAGTTGTTGTTGTTGTTGTTGTTGCGAATGTTGTGCGTGATTTGGATCCATCTGTAATTCTTTCAAATGTAAAGATAATTCATATGGTTTTTTAAAACGTTGATTACAATGTTGACATGTTTTTGAATGAAAATTTTTATAATGACGATTAACCTGTGCACGAAGAAAATGCATATAAGTACAATCATCAATTGAACATTGATAACCAACAATAGAATTATCAGTTGATCGTCGTAACATGAATACATTCGGTGATATACGTTCACGTATTAATATTTTTTCCTCTTTTAATCGTTCAATCATTTGCATAAATTCATTTTTTGAATGTACATTTTGTGTTATCTTTCTTGATGATGATGATGATGATGATGATAATGTTGTCGTGGTTGTTGCCGCTGTTGATGATGATGATATTGGTAATGGTATTGCCGATTTTTTCGTAATATTACTACCGGATTCGAAATTATTAATTATCATTGGCTGTCGTTGATTTGTTGTTGTTGTCGATGTTGTCGTCGATGGTGATGATAATATTAACAATGTATTTTTATCATTATTTTGATATGATATTGTTTGTATTGGTGTGGATGTTGTTGTTGTTGCTATTTTGGAATGTTTTGTTGAATTCGATACATTCGAATCGATTATCGAAACAATCGATTCTTGATTCGAATCTTCTTCATCTTTTATTTGTAAATCGATTATCGGTTCAAACATATTATTATTATTATTATGATTATTAATTAAAATATTTTGTTCATTTTGATTAAAAATTTGTTGTTGTTGATTAATTTTTCTATGATTATTACCTGTTGTTATAGTTGATTGTTTTGTTTGACCATGAAATGTTGTTGTTGTTGTATTTACATTATATAATTGATCATCATCGTCATCATTATCATTCGAACAATAACGAAAATTATTATTATCAACATCACCATTATTATTATTTATTATCATTTGATTATGATGTTTATCTAGATTGTAAATATTTTCATCCAAATCCATTATTATTGATTCATCATTATTACCATTATTAATCAATCCATTATTATTATTATCATTATCATTGATCATCATAACTTGTAATAAATTATTAATTTTTTGTTCCATTGATTTTAATTTAGTAAATTTCATTTCAAAATAATCTTTTAATTCTTTTATTTCCGAACAATATGTTTGAAAAATATTAACAAAATTCTGTACATGAAATGATTGATTCGAATGAAGTGATGATGATATGTCGTTACTGTTAATGGACATTATTGGTTGTGTTCTTCGTTGTTGTTGTTGTTGTTGATAATTTGTTCGTATGATTTGTTGTTGTTGTTGTTGTTGATTATTTTCAACCAAATTTGTTCGATGATTTATTGGCATCAAATTCATTCTAATCAATGATCGTTGCTGTTGTTGAACAGAATTATTATTATTAATTCTTTGACGATCATTCGACGATAATCTTGTGGATGATGATAGCAATACTTTTTTATCATTATTTGTTTTGTTTGAATATGGATGATAACGTTGTTGTTGTTGTTGTTGTTGAATATTTGTATCTAAATTATTTGTTGAAATCATATTGGAATTTTGTTTCATTTTCGGTTTGAGGTGGTTTTTTTTTCTTTTTTTAGTTTGAAAAATTTCTATTCAACCATATATATGTATGATTGAATATTTTGATCATAAAAATTCATTTTGAAACAATTTTTTTTCACTTAAATAAATCTTGAATCGAATGAAAAATTGAATTAAATTTAAACAAAAGTAAATTAATCTTGTTTGATCACAACAGTGGTAACAATTATTTTTTTATTATTCAAAAAAAAAGTGAAAGAAATTCAACAACAACAACAACAATAATAAATGAAAGAAAAAGTAGTAACGGTAAATAGAGTAACGGAGGGGAAAAAAATTATGCCATCCTGAAGAATTGTTTGTTTGTTTGTTGCCCCCCAATATTCTCTGGAATTACACACATATACAATCCAATTGAGTATCAAGATTTTTCCTCTATTTCCATTCTTTCAATTTATATTCTGCTATATTTCATGTTATAAACGATGGTAGCCATTTTTTTTTAGTTTTGTTCTTCTTCATTGATACTGCGTTCATGATGATGATGACGATGATGACATGTCACATATAATGGTGAAACTTTTTTTTTTCTTCTTCAATGCAACAACACCATCATCATCACCAAAATTATATAGACAAATACAAAATATACACTGCCGGTTTTTTTTGCATTCTTGGTAATAATGATGATTTGTCCATGTTTGATTTTTTTCCTTTTATTTCTGTTTCCACAGCTATTCGATCAACTTTGAAAACGTGGATGGATTTAGTAGGCTATAGCTTGATTGGGATGCCCAGTAATAATCGAATGACGATACACGAGAAAAAAAATGACATCACGATTGTGCAGTAATAAATAATTCGGTTACACAAACAAAACAAAATAATAAAAAAAAAGATCGAATACGAATGCTCGGTCACAAATGTGGCATTATTGTTTGATCAATATATACATACGGCGTGTGTTTTCGTGTATAGATTGTTCCAGAAATAGTTGGCTATATATATATCGTTGGTTTCAATCAAGTGACAATTCGTTTTGAATTTAAGTCATCATTTAAAAATGTTGCCAAGATGTTTTAATTGAAATAATTTTTCTATAAGAAATTTCCGCCAAAAATACGAATATCGAACATAAATTTCCAATGAAAAATAATATAAATATTGAATATACATGTATTAATTTTACACCATTATCAACCAATGTTTTTGATGATGATAATTCCAATAATGAATGATATTTTTCAATTTCCATTACAATTTTATAGAACCATGCTTGACTTAAATTTGATTCATATAATATTTGTACACTGGAAACAAAAAAAAAACAAAATAATTTTCAAATATTAAAAAATGGAATGAAATAAACATTCTTTCAAAGAACATACTAATGATCAATAACATTACCAAATGGTGAATGTTTTGCAAGTGCAACCGATATAAAATCAATACCAAATGAACCCTGTCCAACATGTAATGGTTTTTTGGCAATTAATTTCGATAATAATAATGTTAATTTGGAATCAATATAAATATAACGACCATTGGGATCATTTTGTACAATATCGATACCTTCTTCAATACTTTCGGTCATTTTTTCTTTACTTCTAAACATTAATATGGAAAAAAATAGAAATATTCAATTCAATAAATCTTGGAATTTTGTTTTCGATGATGAAAACAAAACAAACCGTTTTAAATGTTGACCAATCATATATAATGTTGTTAAATCTTTAGGTGAATCAACAAACGTATCATAATATGAACTAAATTTTAAACAAATAATTTTAAAATAATCATCTTGTGCTGCTTTTAATATATCATTGGTTGTATCCATTGGCCGTTCATATTCCGGTATTGTTAATATTGAATAAAATGATGCACAATATGCTGGTGATAAAACAATCATTGTTAATATTAATGATAAAAAAATAATACGAATACGATTTTGTTCCACAATAGAAGCTGTATCAATACTTTTTCCCAATAAAATTGCATAAAGATTCATTGATATTGTTGAAAATGATTGAATTTTTTGTTTTGTTAAATCGGCAAATTTTTTTGTCAAATAAAGTACAATAAGAATTGTGAAAAATGATAATAAAATTGTTAACCATAATATCATTTCAAATGGTTTGATAAAAAGCCACATTCGTGGTTTTTCTGCAGGAAATTGTGTTATAAATCCTAATTCATCATTCAATGTAATCATTGTAAAATGAATGGCCATTGCTCTTGCATAGGAAATCGATATTCCACATATACCAATATCGGCAGTACCATTAATAATATGACCAATTGATCCTGTCCATTGATTTGGACCGATTAAATGTCCCCAATTTTGTTTACCATCAATAAAATTATAGGTAAAATTCATTCGTACAGCTAAAAGATCAATAAAATATCGATCAATTGATGTGGATGATAAATGAAGATAAGGATATTTAATTAAATTACAAAGTGGATTAAACTAACGAAAAAAAACAACAAAAATAAATAAATGTTGATAATTTATAAACGATTGATATGTGTGTTTTATTACTTACATTATTGACGACAACATTTAATGATTGTTTTTTAAGATTACATTTTAAATATGATGTTTTAATTCGTAAAAAATCTTCATCATTTTGTGGTATATAAACAGAATTTGTCATTCGACAACCATCAAAAACTGGTCGTAAATGAATAGTTGTTGTCATTGTTTTCGGATTACGATTGCCAGCAATAATTTTTAGACGAAAATTTCTATCCAATCTTCGGATTGATTTAGATAATGATTGATATAAACAATTTGTTAGATTAAATTGTTGATTATCAGTTATAAAAGCCAACATATATGGTTCACAACTATAACATTGATCATAGAATATTTGTAAAATTTTTATTGAACTGTTAAGATATGATTCGATTTCATTTTCGGTTATTGTATCCGGAAGATCAAAAATTATTAATAAATTAAGATCACGATAATTCGTTTTTTCACGGAAATTTGTATAAAAATTTTCTGGTTTTTTATCAATAACGAACAAATCGAATGGACAATCAAAATCATATTCTAATCGATTACGTAAACGATTATTCATATCGATAGAATCGTTCATCGTATGAATATTTTCAATAAGAATAATTTTCATCATTTGTAATTCGAATAAATCTTCTTTATGACATATTTGTTGTAAATAATTCCATAAACTTTGATCACCTTGAAATTGTATTCTGGTTGAAGATGTTTCAATATTTAAAATAAATATTAATATTTCAATCAAAATGATGATGATAATCATATTTTGCCTTTATGAATGACAATGTACCCATAATGTTGACAATGAAATTCATCAAAAAAAAGAACGAAAAATCGCCAAAAAAAATAAAAATACCGATAAAAAAACAACGTTGCCATAACAATTTGTCATTTGATTTCTTGTTTCTTTATATTCGGTGTTTTTTTTATATATTCAAAAAAAGTAATTATGAAACAAAGTGGAAAAAAATTGTGATTCGGAAATAGAAAAATAAGAAGAAATCTTTTCCTCGAACAATCAAGATATAATTATCGTGGGGAAAAAACAAAACATTCTTGTCATTCACAACATGATTTGTACCAAAATCAAGTATGTATTCACTTTTTTGTTGTTGTTGTTGTTGTCAACTTTATCATTAAATATAATTGTTGTTTTGTCTGTTCTTTTCTTTTTTTTTAGATTTTTTAACCGGGAAAAAAATGTATAAATTCACCCAATAAACCGAATGATGAACAAAATAATCCAAACGTCCATAAATAAAATGTTAATTTTAAATCATTCAATTGTATGCCATCAACAATGAATGATAATTCACGATTTTTACCATTACCATATGATCGGATAAAATCATATACTTGTTGATTTTTAGCTGGAATATTGCGAAAAATTTGTCGATACCAATGTTCATGTAGACCGATTTCATAGGAAATTTTTATACTAAAATGAAAAAGAAAATGAAAAAATTCATGTTAAAAATTATTTTCAAACCAGCCAAATGAAAAACTAACTAAAAATCAAACGAACGATATAATGGCGATTGTTTTGGAAATGCAAATGCAATCAAATTTGAACCAAATCTATCATTACTAATGTATAATGGTATTTCGGCAAATAATTTTCTTGATATTTCTAATGGCATTCTTAAATCAATATAAATGAAATTTTTTTCATTCGAATTATTCTGTACTATTTGGATTCCTTGTTCAATATTTTTGGCCATTTTTGAATGAGTTCTGTCAAAAAAACAAAACAAATCGAAAATCGAAAATCAAAAATCCCGAAAATCAATCATCAATTACCGATTCATATGTTGACCGATTATAAATGTCGAACCGGAATTTGGATCAGCATCAATAAATAATTCTAAATATGAACTAAATTGTAATGTTATTATATTATAACTATTATCATCATTATTTTGAGCAATTTTAATCAATTGATTAATTGTTTCAATTGGTTTTTGATATTGTACAATAGCTAATGATGAATAATATGAACCACAATATGTTGGTATTAATACAATCATTGCCAACATAAATGATAGATATAATATACGATATTTAAATGATTTTGGTATTTTCTTTGTTAAACTTTTACTTAAAAATATTGCCAATAAGTTTATTGTAATTGATGATAATGATTGTTGTTTTGATTGATCGATAATTGATAATTTTGAAATTGAAAAAATCAATAATAAAATGATTACAAATGAAAACACGATTGCCAGCCAAACTGGTGTTTGAAATGGTTGAAGAAAAATCCATTTTTGTATTTCAGAATCCATTGGAAATGTTGTTATAAATGTTAATTCATCAATCACTGTAAAATATGTAAATTCTACGACTTTTGATCGATCTTCATTCAATGATACGCCACACATTGCAAGATCGGCTGTACCATTGAGTAGATGACCAATCGAACCGCTAAATGATCGATTTGGTCCAATACGATAACCCCAATTTTGTTCGGCATCAATCAATTGATAATTGAAATTTATTTTTTTCGATAATAAACGAATCAATTTATAATCAATTGAATATGATCGTAACATTTCGAATGTGTCGAAATTACAAAGTGGTGTAAACTTTTTTTTAAAAAAAAGAGTTAAAATCATTATTCCAATTACAAAATTCAAACTTGAAAACTTACATTATTAATCGAAATAGTCAACATTGTTTGGTTAAGATTACATTTCCATAATGATTGATTTAATTTTTTAAAATCATCAGAATATTCAGGTAAAAAAACCCCGTCAAATTGTTGACAACCATACCAAATTGGTCGTAAATGTATAGTATTTGTAATTGTTCCCAACGAATCAGTCAAAACAATTATCAATCGAAATCTTTTATCCGTTGTCAACGATAATTCTGTTAACCATTGATTGAAAATCTTTTTATATTTCAAATGTTGTTGATGATCATTTGATTCGGTGAAAAATATGAATAAAAATGGCATACATGTTAAACATTTTAAATAACGTATTTGTAATGTAGAAATTATTTCGGAAAATTTCAACCATAATTCATTTAAATTATTCATCAATTGAATTGATAATGAAAAATCAAATAAAATTAAAACATTTCGATAACGATTCATTGGATTCATTCGATATGATAGATTTGAATATAATTCATTCGACGTAAGGTTTGTATAAAGTTTAAATGGACAATCAATTTTGATCAAACGATTACGAATATTAAATGTTGATCGAAATGGAGAATCCATAAGATTTTCAACTAAAATTATTGTAGTTTTTTTTGTTGAATAATATTCTGGTTGTTGAAATTGTTTTAAATAATTCCATAAATTTTCATTACCCAAGTATGATTGAACATTTAATGATGGTAAACTTTTATTTACATTAATATTTATGATAATTAGATAGATGATTTTGAACATTAAACATTTGATGATCATCATTGTGGTTGTTGTTGTTGTCATTCATAAAACTCAATGGAAGAAGAAGAATTTCTTCTGATCTCGATTGTTTTTTTTGTTCCATTGAGTGGAAGAAATCGAGATTTTTCTCAATTGACAATTCTTGTCTGTCTGTCTGACTGCCGGTGAGAAATTATTGATTGACTTACAAATTCAGAATAAAAAAAATATATACCTAATGAGAATTTCTAACCTTGTGATATTTTTGTTTTTCGTTTATTTATGTGATGAATGAATGTGAAAAATTCGTCTAAATGAAATGTATTTTTGGGATTTTGCTATAGAAAACATTCAACGAGAAAAAATTATGGCCAAAATATGGTGATCGTGAAAATTCAACAAAAAATGAAGGAAAAAAACATTTTCTGATTCTTAGAAAATCATAATTATTATGAAAATTATTCAACAAACAAACAAACAAGAAAAATTCCAAACAATCATTTGATTTATTGATCGATTAATATGGATGGATGGATGGATAAAAGTGAGAAATCAAAAAAAAAATTATTCAATATTTCAAGTTTAAAATGAAAATCGATCTAATCAATTCAATCAAGGTTTTTTATTTTATTTGTTTTTTTTTGTTGTTCACTTGTGAATATCTTGTGATTAAGCATAATTCAATTTCATCATTGACATTGAATATTAATGATTCTTATTTTTTTTTGTTTATTTTTTTTTTCTTCAAATTCTAAGAATCAAGTTTTTGCCATCCAGGTATATATAAAGTGTTGGCAAGTCCATTCCTTTAAAATTCGAATAACCATTCAAATCAAGATGATGAAAACATTTCATTCAACCATTGTGCTGTTGTTGATCATCACAATGATGATCAACATTGGTGTACAAATGTCAACAATTCCAGAGGATACGGTGGTAAATAACGATGTAGAATCAAATGTAGATATTATGAATGTAGATACAACTGTTTTACCTGTGGAAATTATTCAACAAACAACAACAACAACAACCACAACAGCCAATCCATTGAGCAGATTAAGCCAAAGACGAAAGAAACCAAAAGTCAAAAATATAGATGCAGATCCAGTATGCGGATAATCAGCCAGGTAACAATTCAAACATTTTTCAAATTCAAATTCAAAAAAAAAAATCAAATCCAAACCGACATTGCGAAATTGGATGGAATTCAATTTTAGGTAAGATTCTACGAATCTCTTCCTCATTACAATCACATGATTCAAATTCAAATTTCCTAAATCCTTTTTTGTTGTTGTTTTGTTTTGTAATTGTTATTGTTAATTTTCATTTTTTCATTTGAAATTGTTATTCATTAAAAATTTTATCAAATAATGAATGTCGTTTTGCAACTGTTTGTAATGGGGAATTTGAATTTTACTTAATCAAAATTTAAAAAAAAGAAATTCATTGACAAACAGAATAATCATTTTGAAAGGATTTCAAGGGAAATTTTTTTTCAAGGATTTCCCTTTTCCTGGTCTCATCATCAAATCAAAACAACCAAGATATATAAAGGCCAGCAGTTTTCATTGTCATTATCATCGTTGAAGAAGAAGAAGAACGAACGAAAAATCCTTAAAATTCATCATGAAATTGATATCGATTCATTTTATGTTGGTCGTTGTTATTATGATCATCATGGCAATTACATCGGGACCGAATGCTGTTGAAGCTAGCAAGAAAAAAGGTGGCTATGGTTATGGAAAAGGTTATGGTCATGGTGGTTATGGTGGTGGAAAACGTTATGGCAAGAAAAAATGGGGCTGATTAACAAAACAACAAAAACAACGTATTCCGGTTATCGAACGGGTAAATGTTTGATTCTGTTGTTTAACCTTTGATTTATGAATGAAAAAAAAAATTGAATTAAAAATAAAGTTGCAACAAAAAACAAATTATAACCTTCAAATTAATTCATCTTGATCATCATTTTGTCGTTTACATCTTTGTTTATACCAAATAAAGATGATAGATGTAATTATCAACAGGATAATTATCAATGTAATCGATGCTATTTGTTTGATCAATTTACGTAGATTTTCTTTCGTACTATCATCGTGATGATGATGATGATGATTATCTGGTTTCCGATGTAGACATCGATCCATTTCATTTGTATTATATGGATATAAACGACAAAGGGACATTGTGGAAATTTTCCCAATAATTCTTTGTTGATAATCTAACCAATCTTGTTGTTCATTTCCAGAACATACTTTATGAATCGATTGTTCAAGACAATCAAATAGTTCATAGATGGCGCAACAATTATCTTCGGATGTAAATTTTATTAAATGAATTTTTTGTTCATATTTCATAAGAATTTTTTCATCACATTTTTCAATTAAATTTTCAATGATTTCGGTACCATTTTTTAATCGAACCATATGCGATCGTAATTGTTGTAAACAATGTCCAATGGTCTTAGTTTTTACATTTGTTATTGGCCATATAAATTGATGTTTATCGGCTATCTTGATTGGTCCATAATGATCACAATAACGAATCCATTGAATTTGTTTACATAATGTTTGTTCAATTTGTTCATAACGAAGTAATGAATATAATTCTATTTCAATTGATAATGATGGTGAACACCATTGTTTTGCATTCAATTGATAACATTTTAATTCTTCCCAAATAATACAACATGTTTGCCATAATGTTGTTATCCATGTATGACGACCTAATGGATTAAAATCATTGGCCGATTGTTGTTGACATTTTTCAATCAAATCTAATTGTCCATTCATACATTTTAATGCCAAATTATTCGGTTGTTCAATGTTGATTGTCTCATCATCGTGGTACGATGATGATGATGATAATTGAACCTTGATCATCATCATCATCATCATTATCAAATATGAATAAATTAACATAATTCAAATGTTTTCTTTAATTTCTTTCTTTCGTTTTCTGGAAACATTAAATCATCAATCAGTTGATCAAACACACACTCATAAATCAATGGGAAACAAAAAAAAGGATTTATCATCGACGTACGATCAAAAATCAAAAAAAAAAATCCATTGAACGGATTGATCATAATCGGACATTTTGTATGCCAATAAACACCCCCCATTCCATATCATTCCATATCATCATTCCTTTTTTTTCCATTGTATTAACACTATGGCAACCAGCAATTTAACTTTTATAATTTTAATTAAATTTTATTTTAATTGTAAAATAAAAAATTCTATTCAATTTTTTGATTGACAGTAAACAAAAAAAAAATGTACCAAAAATCAATCAATCAATCAATTTTTGAATGAACAAACACCATTTGAATAAACAAAACCAAATCAATCAAATCAAAAACATTCATTTCCGAATCGATCTTTTTTTTTTTGATGTTTTTCAATTACATCATCAACTGAAAAAAAAACAAAGATTTTAGTTCAGTATTATGAATGAATGAAACGTGGAAATTTGATAATTCGATGATGATGATGACAACATTCGAAGGACAAGATCAAATATTGTCAAAAACAACCAGACTTATTGATTCAAATGATATTCAATTTTAATCATCATCATCATTTGTTATCGAACGATATTTCTTGCTTTTTGATTAATGCAACGACACAATTGATAATGATGATCATTGAATTTTGATCTAATTTTTTTTTCAATGAATGAATGAATGAATGGATGCACAATCATTTTTCGAGGATAAAATTGTGAACAACCCTTTTTTTTAGGTTGATAAAAAAATCCATCCATCCATTGATCAAATGATACTGTAAAATAAACACATTTTGTTGTTGTTGTTTTTGGCATCATTTTCATTCATTGAATTGTTTTTCCGACCAACCGAAAAAAAAGAAGATCAATTTGTCATCGTTCGTTGTCAAAGATAATCATTCTTATCATATTTGATGATCGACATTCCAATAGCCAAAATGAAATCGAAAATGTTCAAATTTCTCGAAAAAAAGAAAAAAACTTGAAAATTCTCCAATAACGGACGTGATCATCATCGTGTTCATCTCCCACTCTATTTCTCCTCTACGGTTTATTCATCATTGGTTATCATTTTTTTTCTTCATTTTCATTTTGTCAACGCCTTGTTGTTGTTTGTATCCGATTTCAGATTTTGAATCAAATTTTTGATTGTTGTCTATAGCTTCGAACTAGCTATAAATATCGTTAGATTTTTTCGAATCAAAATTCATATAACAACCAACCAACCAACCATCAACGTCTTCACTACATTACCAAAAATTTATTTGATTACTTTACTTGTTTGTCACCGATTTTCTTCCAGAAAAACCAACCAACCAAACAATAATCATGGCCATCGAAGGAAAATATGAAATGGAATCTTCCGAACATTTTGAAGAATTCGTTAAAGAAATGGGTAAGTTTAGTTATTATCTAATTGATGGTTCATGGTTACAAATAATGTTTAATGTCTTTTCATGATTCAAAAAGGTTTGGAAGTTGATATGACTAATATTGATCTGTCGAAAACATCAACAATGGAAATCAGTAAAGATGGTGATTCATATTTGATTAAAAGTAATACGGCTGGTATCATACATGAAATTAAATTCAAATTGGATGATGAATTTGATGATGATATGAATGGACATAAATTTAAAAATATTGTAAAAATGGATGGTGATAATAAAATGGTACAGACAAAAACATCGATTGATGGTGGTAAAGTTGTTAATGTTTTACGTGAATTTACCGATAATGGTTGTACAGTAAAATCCACTTACAACAATGTTACATGGACTCGTGTTTATAAACGAGTTTAAATCGATTGGAAATTGCTTTCTTTCTCTCTCTCTCTCGGATTTCTCTCCAAATTAATTAATTAATTTAATCCAGATTTTTCAATTGTAATCCGAATAAATAAATTTAAAAAAAAATAATAACAAAAAAATCCTTTGATTCTCACACTAGATGGCGTAGCTGTTTTCATGAATTTTTGTTTTCATGCTTTTCGAATTCGACAATAAAAATAATTTTCATTTGACGGATCGGATGATGATAATGAGGATGATGAAAAGTATATTGGATGTGTTGAAATTAACATGGCCATGTGAATTTCGACACCAATCATGTACAATATCCGAATTGTTCATTCAATCATCATCATCAAACAATTATCAGCCAATCTTAATGATGATGATGATGATGATGACAAACTTTTTTTTTTCTTCTTTGGATTCGGGAACATTCTTCATATCAATCAAGGAAATCAAACAAACAAACAAACAACAATGTTTGCGTGATTGTTAATTAAACACAAAATTGTCAATTGACGAACACAAACAATAATCAACAAGTTTTTTTCATTTTCTTCAAATGAATAAATTATTTCAATGTCAGGGTACAAGCCTTTCTCTTTTTCTTTTTCGTTTCATTTTCACTTTCACCATCTTTTACGCTTGGATTGATGTCGATGATGAGGATTTCAAATCGAACCGAAATGGAACTTGTTCACGTAATCTAGCAATCACAATTTATTTACGAATAATAGAAAAAAAAGGGAAATTTCAAAAACAAAACAAAACAAAAAAAACTTGTGAAAATCACATAGATAAACAAACAAATCTTACCAACAATCAACACACACCCTGGTAATTATCAAATGAATGGTTACACGGATCGATCGATGCTGAACAAAACCCACCACCATCAATTTTTACTCTGTCAACTTTGAAATCATGTGAAATTCACATTAAATCATTAAAAAAACTGACGACATTCATTCATTAATTTATGATTATAGGAACAGGTAAAAAATTTAAAAAAAAAATTATCAAGTAATTAACATTGATGATAATGAATCTGATGAAGGATGCAAAAAAAAAATTCTTCCAAGGTTGATTTTTGGCAAATATTTTTTCCTTTTTTTTTGTTGTCTCTTCACATTCGATTCTATTCGAATTCTATTCGAATTCTATTTCCACATTCTATTTTAACATTCATAGGATCAATTGATCCATATAGTCTCCATAAAATCAACATTCGATTTCGAATGAAGGAAACTCGTTCAAACTCGTTCAATTTTTTGTTTCATTGAATTTTCAATGATTTTTTTAATTTTCAAAATGATTTTAGTTTTTTTGTGCCATAAATTAGAACTTTAGATTTTCAATAAATCAAATATTAATTCGATCAATGTCAAAATCTCTTCTTTTTTTTTTGGTTAATTATGGACTCGTCCAAGAATGTGTTTGAAATCCATTTTCAAAAATCTTATCTCTGATGATGTTTCGATTTGATTTATTACCATTATTAAATCAAATCTGCAGATCCTTCTTCTGAATATATATAGCAGCAAAAATGTAAGACGAGCCAAAATTTAGACATACAGGTTGGGTCAAAGTTTAAAGTATTATCATTATTATCTGCTAGCAGTAAATATTTTTTTTTTCTTCAATAGATTCGGCAGTGGTCCATGTTTCAATGAGTGATTGGTAAATGAGAGGTCTCAAATGAGTGAAAACAAACCACCAAATATAACCGTTGATCTCAACTGAATATATATTCTGCTGTCAAAATTCTCAACCGACCAAATCATACCACAATTTTAGTTATCAAGAAACATTATCTTATCTACAAGTGGTATTTGGTTTTGGTGAGTGTTGGTGAGTCATGATAAAAAATTTTTTGTTTTTAAACAAAACAAAAAAAAATTGTTCAAATTCAATAGATTTTTTTCAGTGTTTCAGCTCCATATCGTTCAGTTTTTTTTTCTGGGTGAAAAAAATCCAAAAAATTAAATTCGATTTCGATTTCATCTCCCACACACACACACACAACACACCAACATACCTTGCTCAACGAACAAATACAACTCCTTGTCTCAAAATTGAAAATCGAAAAAGTTTTCCATTTTTCCATCTCTCTCTCCTTCTCTCAATGTGTGTGTATTTTACAGCCTTCGAAATTAGTCGAACTACCATCCATCCAGCCATTCATTCAACATTCAATCAAAAAAAAATTAATTCATTCATTCCGACAATATCAATCTTTTAATCGAGCTGCGCCTGTTTTTTTTCTTCTCTTTTCTTTTTTTCCAGCAACAGCAGCATTCAGCAACAACAGCAGCAGCATACATATAGTGTTTTTGGTGGTCATCATCATCATCCGCGTGAACAGAAACATTATACCATTCATATCGACAAAAATATTGATCCTTTTTTTTTCTTTCGTTGTTGTTGTTTTTACGCGGCAAACTGAAATTGAAAAACTGAAAAAGTATCTCGATCGCTGCTGATCACATTCATTTCTTCTTGTGTGATTGATTAATCACATTTTTGAATTATAATCAACAACAAAAACAAAAAATTGTTTTTATAAATTCGTTGTTCGTCAGACTGGTTGTTGTTCAAAGCTGCTTGTTTAGTTTGGTTGTGGACTGCTTTTTCAAAAAAAGGTAGCTGCCAGTTTTAAAATTTAATCATTAACGACCAGACAAAAACCACCACCATCATTCATCAATAAACATCGTAATCATCATCATCATTATCATCATCTGAATACAATAAAAACACAAACACACACAGCAATAATCAATGTTATTTTTTTAGTTTCAGGCCACGCCAATTTTTCAATCCAATGTTGATGATAATGATTGACAGACTTGTCTGTATGTTTTGTGGATGAATCTCTTCGATGTCTGTGATTTGATAGTTTTAAAAAAAATATTGTCATTGTTCATATTGTATAAATATTAACGGCAATAATATTAGTGACTCTTTTTTTTGCCATAATAATTTTGAATTTCGGTTTTTCGGACAACATCAACAAAAAAGACAGAAATCTCTATGTGTGAAAATCGAAAATAAAAAATCAGCATAATAATCATACCGAATCGTGTGATTTGAATTTAGGAATTTTTGTTTTTAATTTTTTTGTTGCCAAAGAGAAAAATAATAATAATATTCGTATTTCCATGTCCCATCATATATAAAGTGACAACAACGAAAAAAGAAAGAAAGAAAAGGAAGAATCCATTCTTAGTTCCATTCACAATGTCATCATTATCATCCATAATGTATCTATCTAAATATTTTTGCTCAATATTTTGTTTTTTCATATTAATCTATCAATCATCATTATTATTTGTTGTTTGTACTACATATCAACAAAATGTTAATAATATATCAACAATGAATATTATTCCAAATCAGAATTTTATTCCACATCATTCACATCATGATCAACAACAACAACAAAGATCACAAAGATCTGTACCAGAATTCGAAGCAACATTAAATGCAATGAAATGTGCTCTTCGAATTGTTGGACTTCAAGTTTCAGGTTTGTTTTTGAATTTATTATTATTATTATTATTATTATTGGTTTCTTACTTTCACAATCCGGTTTAAATATTCAACAACAACAACAAAAAATTATAAAAAATGTAAATTCCAGTCACGCCAAATGATGATGATGATGATTAGAACAATTTCATTGACCTCTCATTCATTCCTATTTTGATAGATGAAAGTATTTCACATTTTTGTGTGTATTACCCCTTGAAATTTCATTTGAAAATGTAAAGAATTTTATTGCAAACACTTGTTGAATGTTGAAATTTATTTATCTTTCGCTTGTATTGAAATTGCCAAAAAAAAAGGTCGATGATCAGATCCGGAACTATTATAATAGACAGTTATTCAAAGATGTTGTTATTGATATATAGAAAGACAAACAATCAATGTTTTTTCACTTTTATAGATATGTGTTAGATTAGATTGAATAAATGACATATTGTTGACATGATGATGATTGACAATTAGATTTTTTATTTTCTCAAATTTCACTGATCAATTGTGATGATGATGATCATTGTGTCCTAGCACGCAAGTCTATCATTTGGATTTTTATTTTTTTTTCTTCTTCATACATTTTGGTTAACATCCAGCATGTCCAAATTTGGAAAAGGTTTTTTTGTTTTGTCAAAACAAAACAAAACAGAAAAAAAATTGGATATGATCTGCTTGATGTAAACAAATTGTGTATCAAAATATGTCATCAAAAAATCAGTTTTTTTTGTTGTTTGTTGCCTCAACTGATTTGATAATCATCTGGCATAGTTTTTTCTTTTTTTTTTGCTGTTGAAAACTTGGCCATATCCAAATCTGTCAAAAAATGTGGTTTAGATTTTTTTTTCCTGTTTTTTCCATCATCATGATTATGATGATGATGATGGTAATGGTGATGATGGTTGGATCGAATGGATCATTAAATGGCTAAATTAGCCATCCAAAATACACACATTATCATTGAGATGTCATGTATATTGCATTTACTAAGCAGGAAAAAAAAAGAAATATTTTTTTTCATATTAATCGCTGATGAACTTTACGCAATTTCATTTGAATTTGAAATCAATCGATATATGTGTGTTTTTTTTTCATTTTTTTAAAAAAAATATGCATTTCATTTTCCTTGATGATCATAATTAAATTTATCTCTTTTTTTTGCTTTATATTTCATTTGCTTGATGATCTTTCCACATCTAGTTAATGTTAATCAAACAATGGGGAGAGAGAGAAAGTAGAAAAAAAAGAGCAATGCCATAATGAAATTTACATTATTTATCAATTAATTATCAAGGTTTTTTATGCACTATTTTTGTTTTAACAAATTGATTTCATTTTTTTCAAGCTACCAAACAAATATCGATAAAGAATGGAAAGAATTGAAATGGAAAAAATCTATTAATTAATCAAATATAGGATACATTGGTTTCCGTTGAATAGTTGTTGTCGTTAATCAATTGAAATTCAACATTGCAACAACAACAATAATAATAATAATAATATGTATGTGATTGGCAAAAAAACAAAGATAGATAGCAAGCTGCAGGATATATAATTTTTTGTTCCCATCTAATTTACATATTGATAGTCTTTGTGTATAATGTGTTTGTGATAAAGGTGTTTGGAAATCAATAATAACGATGATGATGATGATTGCAGCCAAAAAATATTTTGGTTAATTGAAAAATGATAATAATAAAAACAAAAAAACAACAACCATATTATTCTACTATAGTAGCATTCTGAAGCAATGATCACATGTGGAATATAAGAAAAATTTCATCATCTACCATCATCCATCATTAATTAATTTGTTTATAGTTATGTGGTTTTTTGTTTATTAGTTGCTACTTGCTTTACTATTTTATACAAATGAATTCAAGGTTATCAAAGGATCTCGGATTGATTTTGATCAACATCATAGAATTAAAGAATAATAATGATGATGTACATTTTTTTTTGATTGAACAATAGCATTTTTGAAATGAAAAATAATAAAGATTCATTGTCAAGGATTTTATTCATCTATACACGGATGCATTTCTTTGTTTCTTTGCTCCGGTGCAATTCTATCAACAACAACAAAAACAGACAGGTGATGTTTATGTTGTTGTTGTTTGTTTGTTTGAATTTTTTTTTATGTAAATTTGATTCGATTTCGATTTAATAATAATGTTGAAAATGTTGATGGTGATGATCATCAACATTATTATCATCATCAAATTGGATTTTGATGATCCATTGCAAAATTTCCCATCATCATCATCATCATTATCGTAATAACAATGATGAATGAATGGAAACATTTATTGTTGTTGAACACATATATGTAGTGTAAATTAGTTTTGGAAAACGAAAATTTGTTATTTTTTTGTTTCGTTCGATTTGTTTTTCATACAAGATTATGGTGATGATTGCATTGACCCTGTTGTTGTTGTTGTTGACAAATAATAATTCTTTTATCATTGCTAGCGAATTATCATTTCATTTTGAATTTTTTTTCTGTTGTTGTTGTTTTGAATGATCAAATCATCATTCAAAACTTGTTGATTGATTATAACCGGGGGATTGTGATATTTGGAAATTTAAATGAAAAATAATGAAAATTAAATTAATGATGATTGTTTTTTTTACGTAATATTTGTTTTTTTTTGTTTTCTATTTAGAACATCATAATAATATGTTCATGTGTTGTGGTTTATGGAAAATGAAATCCTATATGAAAGATACGGCCGATCGTGTTTGTGAAAATGCATATGAATCAAAACGTGTATTCGATGATTTTATGACCGATGAGCTTATATATGGTAAATTTACACATTCAATTCTTGGTGATGATACATTGGATTGTAAAAAATATCCGGAAGGATCACCAACATGTGATCGTTTATTTGCAATCATAACATTTATTATTGTTATGATTATTTTATCAATATTTTTATTGATTATTGGTTGTTGTATGGCAACTATTTGTTGGCATAGATCACGTCGTCAATATCAATGTTTATTACGATTAAAATTACCTGATGATGAATGTTTAGAAAAACATGAATTTCTAAATCATGATGATTATGATGATGGTGAAAAACGTAAAACTAAACGAAAAAATTGGTCAAATCATCTTAAAGCATTGAAACCATGTCGTCCACTTGAACATAAACATAATAGTACAAATGATATTTTACGTCGTCAACAACAACGGCCACAATCAAATGATCAAATAGATTCATCGGGAAAATCTAGTCCCGATTCTGGTATACCACCATCAACTAATTCAACAACAACTTCACGTAATGCATCAACTATGACCTTAAGTAATGATAATCACCAACAACAGGCTGTACAAGAAAAGCCTCAACAACAATGATAATTCATTTAATATTCCAATTTTTTTGTAATTTTTTTTTTGTAATTTTTTTCCTTGGATCTCATCAATCAATTAATTAATTATATGGGCTATAACGAAGAATAAGAAGAAAACGAAGAAGTGCCAAACAAACAAACAAACAAAATCATTTCAAAACAAAAACAAATGTGATTCTTGTAATGACCTAAATCCAAAAAAAAAATTTCTCCCCTTAATTTTTTTTCTTTTAAAATTATTATTATTATTATTATCATCATCATCGTATAAAATAAATAAAGCTTAAATAAATTTTCGTTTAAATCAAATTTTTCAACAGAAAAAAAAATCAAAAGTTGACAATGATATGACCTTGTTGTTGTTGAATTTCCAATTCGAACACAATGATGATTCGTTTTTCTCTGTGTGATCGGCATTCGATTCAATCGATGATGATGATGATGATCAAATCCTAATAACACGACAATCAACCAATATCTTTTTCCCTCGAAAAAATGTAATAATAACGTAATTGCCATTCACCTCTTTCTTTCTTTTGCTATTCACCGGGCTGAAACATTCATTGATTGGCGATGTTTTTTTTCGATTCGATTGTTTGATTCAAATTCATTGAATTGTATCGTTTTGTTGTGTTTGAATTGTCAAAACAAGAGAGGCAATACTTTTGTTTTCATCATCATCATTTTGTTTGAAAAAATGATGCTTTTTCCCCATTTGACATATTCACATAATTGGGTTATTTTGGATGGAAAATTGGTCGAATTTTTGTTTTTCATTCATTCAAGCATCATTATCGTTCGAAATATGAATGAGCAAAACAAAATTTTGTTGCTCGTTCCAATTCCAAATCAAACAAGTCAATTATTTTTCTATATTTGAAAAACAAAAAAATATTTTCAATGAGAATGATTGATGCAACCAAACACCTGGTTAAATTGATGAATTCGAGTTTTTACAAGAAGAGGGAGAGCGAACATCACCTCACCATCATCGTTCACATTATGAATTCGGGTTTCAATTCAGGCTGTTTAATGATAATAATAATTATCATCATTTGCAGTTTGTGGTTGTGGCAATCATTTGGAGCATTCGATGACATTCGTTTTTATTGGCTACATCTGGTATTACGATAAAATTTTTGTTTTTCCTTGAAAACATCGACAATGACAATGTTATTGGCAACCAAAACACCATTTATATTATTTTTGTTTAGTCTTTTGAATCAGAATCGAACGATTGAATCGATTTTTCCACATAAAAACGATAATCATAATCATCAACAATATGCACGTTCATTGACTGATCATTTGCTCGCTTCATTAGCTGGAATGACATCGTTAAGCAATAATAATAATTATGATAAAAATCAAATTTTTTACCATAATAATAATCATCATTATGATCCATTGATGATGATGAAACAAATTCCATTTATAACGGCTCAATCATCATCAACATCATGGTTATATCAACTGCCATTTACAACCGGTAGTGCACAATGTGATCAATCATTAATGTTGGAACCAGAATTTCATCGTTGTCGTGCAAATGCAGCTGTTTATTGGCAACAAGGTTCACGATCAAATTATCAACAATCCTCAACAACAACAAAATATACTTGTTGTTTTCTTTGGGATCTTGTTGATTGTATGGAACAAACCGTACATAAACGATGTAATTATTCATTTGATTTATTTCGTCGTAATCGTAATGATTATATTGTACGTATTCAATCAAATCCATTATGTTATAATTATCTGTATGGAAGTTGGTCATGTATGCAAGATAATTGGATTCTTTTGATTGCGTTCATAATATTGGCTATTTTTATTTTGATTACAATCTGTGTTGCATGTTGGACATTATTCGGACGAAATAAAAACAAACAAACTGGACGATATGATTCGGAAAATATTCGGCCATCGATACCTGTTGCTTCTTCTACTTCTACCTCCGGTGGTGGTGGTAATGGTGGTGTTGTTGGTGGATATGTAATCGATTATGATCATGATAATCATCAACAACAACAACCACCATCAAGTCGTCGAGCAGTATCATCATCATCATCGAATGTTCGTCGAAATTTAGAATCAAATAATCGTTCGAATCATCAACATCATAGTGATTTTGAATTGGATGATAATGATGATGATGATGATCAAATATCAACGAATCGAGTAAAAAGACCATCAACATTATCACCTTTATCGTTGAAAGATTATGAACCACCAAGACGATTTCATTTTCAACAACAACAACAACAACATCCATCATCATCAACACCGATAATGAGTAAACAACATCATTATTCTGTTTCAAATAAACGATCAACACGATCACCACCACCACCAACATCGAGTTCATCAAGACCAGCATCAGTTGTTTCCGTAAGGCAGATTCAAATCTAACCAAATTCAAATCAATTGAAATTATGTGAAACAAGCAAAGATTTTTTTTTATTGAAATAAAAATGAAATGAAAAAGTATGTGTGTGTGTGTGTATGCGGCTGCCATCTGATGATTGTGATTGGAATTTTTCGATTGTTGTTGATGATTTCAAATGGATTTGTTCGTTCGCTCGGTTCGGTTCATTTTTTCAATATTCGGATGGAGTTTGCGAAAGACGAAACAATTCAAGCACTTCACGATTATATTCTTGCAAAATTAATTCAACAATTGCAGCCAATTCTTGTATCTGTTCATGCCAATATTTATATTGATCAAATGTAATTTTATTATTATCATATAATTCACGTTGTAATGTACCATCGGATGTAAATGCTGTACGAAATTGTTCAGTTTCGGTACGAATACGATCAACACGTTGAAATAATTGATTAAATGATTCATTACGTGTTGATGGATTCATAAATGGTTCTAAAGTGATTGGTTTTGGATTTTCGGTTTTTATCATTTCTTTGGTCATTGTTTTTAATTCACAACCACCTGCACCTGCTGCACCTGTACCAGCCGCAGCACCAACAATACATTTTGAATCACCAACCATCGGTAATAATTGTGGTTGTTTTGTAATTGTTGTTGTCGTACGGCTAGTATTACCTGTTCGATGATGACGACGATTATTTTTCTGTATAGATATTAATGATTGTACAATTTCCTGATATGAACTTTGTACAGTATTAATATGACCAAAAAGTTCAATCATTTCGGCATTCAATTCTTCAAGTTCATCTTTATCATCGACAAATGTTTTTTCACGATTTGTTGGTGGTGCTGCTGTTGATGATGATGCTGATTCTCTTTGTAATTTTTGTTGATAGCTAATATTTTTAAGAAAACTTTTAAACAATTCCAACATTTGATTTTCATCCATTATATAAAGTGGATTTTCGGATGTTGTTTTTGATGCTGTTTTTGTTGTTGTTGCGGTTGCTGTTAATTTTTCGGGTGATGTTTGCTGTGTTATTGTTGTTTCTTTCATCGGTTGTCTTGATTTAATTGCTGAATCTTGCTGCTGTGTTGTTGTTCTTGCACCAACCGTTTGTTTTGAATCATCACGTTGTCGTTTTTGTTTCGAACTACAATTCATTCGTACATTCATATTATTATTATTATTGTTGTTATCATCATTAGTTTTAATCGATGTTTTTGTTGTTGCCATTATTGAATGTTTATTTCTCATTATTGTTGTTGATATTTTTTTTATAGATATTTTTTTCGGTATAGAATCATCTTCCGATAATGATTTCATTGTTGATTGTCTTCGTTTTGTCATCATTTTAGCTATAGAATTTTTTGGCAATTTTTTCGATGATTGTTGTGAAGAATAATGTTGTTGATGTTGTTGATGTTTTGTCATTGTTGTTGGTTGTCGTTTAAATAATCGTTGCTGTGTTGGTGTTGTTTTTCTTGGTATCAATCTTGATGATTTTTCTAATTTGGATGTTTTTTCGTTAAATTGTGTTGCAGTCGATATAATTTTATCAGATTTTTCAATCATTGTTGATAATGATAATGATTTTCTAACATTATTATTACTCACTTTTGAATGTTTTCGTGACATTCCCCTTTTTTTTATAAAAAAAAAATACTGATCAAATGCAAGCTACGAACATTCAAGAATATTCAATCGTTTTCAATTAAACAACTAACATAGTTTTGGTACAATTTAAGCGTATTGTTTAAATTATTGTTTTTTCAATTCGAAAATTTTTTTTATTCAAATTCAAATTTAATTAGGAAACAAACAAAAGAAAAAATTCATTATGATGGTGGAATTTTTTGTTTTGATCGCATCAACATTTCCAATGTTAAACCATTGATAGATGATTGATCAATATTAAAATCACAATCACCACCACCACCACCATTATCATTATTAATACAAACATGTTCAATAATTGTTCGAAGATCAGCAAATGAATAATTTTTTGTAATTTCTGAAAAATATCTTATATCCTGTTCATTCAATAAACAATGATCATTATATTGTTCAGATATTTCATTCAATAAAAATCTATAACGTTCATCTATTGTTGGTTCTGGTACATAAATATGTTTACGAAATAATTTTAAAATTTTTGCATGTAAATTATTTAAAAGATTTGTTTGGCCAATAATAATAATATCTTCATTATTATTATTTTGTTTTAAATTATTTATAAAATCAATAAATTGATTAAATAAACGTTTAAAATTTCCTTTTAATTTTGATTGTTGTGTATCATTCATCATAAATCGATCAATATCTTCAATACATATGATGGATGGATGCATTTTATTTGCAACTTTAAATATATTTTCCAATGAATGACGACTTTCAATTAATCGATCCATCGATATATGTATAATCATTATATGTGTACAACAATGTGCAATTCTGTTTAATGCATCATTAACAAAATGTATAATACTTGATCGAGATTCACCATGCACTAGAATGGTTTGTAATTCACGTGCTATTTTATTATGATTGTTGTTGTTGTTGTTGTTAGGATGAATATTCTGACAACGTTCACGTAATTGTTGTTTGAGACAGATTTTTAGAAAACTTTCCAATAATTTTCTTGATGATTTATAGGTAATTTTATTATCATTATCACCATAATTGTTTAAAATCATTTGACGATATTGTGCTTCTTGTTCAACAAATGAATTTGATTTCTAATGGAATAAAGAAACGAAAAACAAAAAACATAAAAGATTCATTGAAAAGATTTTTGGATAATAAGTAAGTAATTACCGTATCCTGTTGTTGGCCATCATTTTTTTCAATATTTTCCATGATTTTTGTTTGTTTACATTCAAACGCTCAATGATTGAATGAAAATCTTTCAATGAATCAACCAACATATTTATGGTAGAAATTTACGTCAAAAATCTACATTCCATTTGGAAATTCCGATTGATTAATTAATTGAAATGATTGTAATGAGGACATTTCATAAATTACATACCGACGATGATAATGATGATGATGATTTTATAAAATGACTTTGAAAATGAGATTTGAAAAATTTTTTGTACATGAAAAAAATGAAATTTTTTCTTTTTTCAACTTGAATTCATCACATTGGTGTAGTATTTATAGTGGATTACAAATAAAAATTTCACTCTATTTTTTTTCTCGATTTGATTTGATTTGATTTGATCCAAACACAAAATGTTGGCCATAATCATTATTTTGTATCCATTGTTAATGACAATTGTCGATACTGCTCATGTTCGAAAAGAACAATGTTCAACATCCGTTTGTCAACAATCGGCTCATTTTATGTCGAATGCATTAGATAGGCAAGTATCACCTTGTGATGATTTTTATCAATTTGCTTGTGGTGGTTGGTTACAACGAAATGAACAAATTCCATCAACAAAACCATTGTATAGTGTTGCCATACAAGCACAAGATGATATGATTAACATAATTCGTTCATTATTGGAAAATAATCATACAATACAACAACATTCCAGCCATACAATACGTTTGGCTAAATTTCTTTATGATCAATGTTTATCGATCGATAATCAAACAACAAACGATCAAAGTCATTTAGTTGAATCATTATTTACCGTTCATAATGACGATGATAATGATGAAACATGGTGGAATATTTATCAATCAAATTGGGCTGCTATTCATACTTTATTTCGTATCGGTGTTGTTACTAATCCTCGTAATACAAGCCAACGGATTTTGGCCATGGGTACGGTATCATTTGCATTGGACGATATAGTTGATGATGATGATAAGGATGAAAAGAATGAAAATCGTTACATAATAGATGAATATGAAAATTTTTTACGAAAAATTTCAACATTAATTCCATATTTTCGTCAACAAAATGATTTACAAATTACAAAACAAATTAATGAAACGATTAATTTACAATTGAAATTGGCGAAAATGAAAATGTCCAATTTGGATTATCAAAATCTATCGAAAATCATAAACATTATGAATATTGATGAATTTGAAAAGCAAACAAATTTTCAATGGTTAAATCGAATTATTCGACCAACATTTCGAATGTTTAATGTTTCTGATTCGGAAATTTCTGGTGAAAATTTAATTCTCATTACTGATGTCGGGTATTTTCGAAAGTTTATCGGTTTAATCGAAACAATTCCAAACAAACAAATTCGTACATTTTTAGATTTGGACATTGCACAAATGATAACACCATATCTTGGTGAACAATATCGTCGTTATATGTTTGAGTTTTTGAAATCCAGTTCTGGTGTACAAAAAACACCGAACAGATGGCGTACCTGTTATAGTCAAATAGAAAAAACATTACCATGGGCCTTATCTCGTTTGTATGTTGATGAAAAACAATTCGATTCAGAAGATCTAATAAAAGCAACCAAACTTGTTGATTCAATTCATGAAACATTCATATCGATGATTACTAATCAACAATCATGGATTGATGATAATGTTCGACAATTATCATTACAAAAATTAAATCATATAAAGAAAAATATTGCCTTTCCACAATGGCTACTTGATGATCGACATTTAGATCAAATTTATCATCTTGAAAATTATAATAATGATCATAATTCATTAAATGATTATATACCGACAATAATAAATTTCGAATGGATTCAAATGCAAGCTAATTTATTATTATTGAATAATGATGACAATTTACCAGATTTTGATGATATTGAGGGCTGGGCAATGGAACCTTCCAAAATAAATGCAGCATATGCACCTTTTGCTAATACAATCAGTAAGTCAAATAAAGAATTTTATGGTCAAATTTTCAATTTATTTTATTGATATTTCTAGCAATACCTGCCGCTCTTTTAACACCACCATTTTATGATTCAACACTTCCTTTAAGTATGAATTATGGTGCTATTGGTTCGATTATTGGTCATGAATTAACACATAGTCTTGATAATGATGGTCTTCGTTTTGATCATAATGGTAATTATCATTTGAAAGCATTATATGATGAAAATATATGGTTGTCGGATGATATGTTGCATAGTTTTAATAAACAATCTGAATGTCTTGTTGAACAATATTCAAACATTCAAGAACCATGGACAGGATTAAAGGTATGTTTACTTTTGAAAAAAAATCTTTGATCAATTCTTTTTCAATTCTATTTTTATAGCTTGATGGTAACAATACATTGGGTGAAAATATTGCCGATAATGGTGGTCTACGACAAGCATTCTATGCATTTCGTAATCAAACATATCAACATCCACAACAAGCTAATCAAATATTGGCTGATCTTGATGATTTTGATCCGGAACAATTATTCTTTTTAGCTAATGCTCAAATATGGTGTACCAAATATCGTCGACAATCATTATCATCAATTATTGATTATGATCCACATGTACCGGCCAGATATCGTGTTAATATTCCGGCATCAAATTTACCCGAATTTGCTGATGCATTCGATTGTCCATCCGGTTCACCTATGAATCCAAATCGAAAATGTATTTTATGGTAGAAAAATTCACAATCAGTTTTTTTTTATTCATTCATTTTTTTCGATTTATTTAATTGTTTAATTTATTCGTATTGATTTTTGTTTTTTTTTGTTTGTTTTCGATTTGTATTTGATTATTTTTACTTCTAAAATTATTTTTATTAAATTCTTTTTTTCGTTTGTTTGTTTACAATTGTTGCATATTCATGAACACACACACACACAGTGAGCAATCATCATTTGACATCATCCAATTGATGATCATCATACCATTGGCTTATTTGATGATGATGATGATGATTGCACAATATTTGTTGATCATCAATCAGCTGATCGATCAATGACGATGCTTGCTTGAAAATCCACTTTTTTTTCGGAAAATAAAGTTACAAGCGTAGACATGTTCCTTCCCCCCACCAAAAAAAAAGAAATTACCACACCCGCTTGATTCTCCAATTACAATTGAAAATCATATCAATTAAACAATAATGGTGATGATAATGAGGAAAAAAACATTGATAAGATTCTTCTTCTAGATTAGCAAAAAAAATATCCATGGTAACTTTGCATGACAACTCTGTATATTTAGTTGTTTTTGTTTGGATGTCTAACTCCGAGTTATTTTTTTGGTTTTTGGTTTTTTGAAAATGTCGTCATAATTTTCTGTTTATGATTGTTGAAGAATGATCAAATTTTTTTTTGTTTTCTGTAACAAATTGGGAAAAAAACCTTTTGATTAGTCATCATCATAGCCTATTTTCATTGATGAACTTGTTCGTTGTTGTATAATTGATTGAAAAAAAAATTATCGCTTGATCATTCATTTTGATCAATCGATCGATTGATTGTGATCAATCAGTATAATCAATATTGATCAATGAACTTAATGCTGCTATGTTGTTGTTATGATGATTAACTTTCAAAATTGAAATATTATGTAATCAAACTGAAACTGTAATTATTATTTTATCAAGATGGCAAATGAAAGTCCATATTTTTGGACATGTCAAAAATGTCGATATAGAAATTCAAAATTGGCTCAACAATGTTTTAGCTGTCGTAATCGTAATCCAAATGAACAAATAACGAAGAAATCTACGTTACCATTATCATCGTCAAAAACATCTACGACATTGTTGAATGATCAACATCACCGTCGATCGTATGTAACGAATAACAAAAACAACAACAATGTTTTGACAACAAAAATTAAAAATCAACAAATACGAACCAATCAATTATTACCGACAACAAAACGATCATCACAAACAACAACGACAACAAATCAAAATACAAGAATTATTCCAATACAAATTAGCCAACAAAAACAACAGAATAGCTATATAAAATCAAATCCAAAAACATTGGCAACGATTCAGGAAACGACGAAATCGACGAATAATCAACAACCACAACCACAACAATCAAATCAAATGAGCGAAGTGTTTGAATCATTTCGTCGAAACGTTCGAAGGAAAATGTATGTTCGATTTTTGTTTTTCAATCGAATTTTTGATTGTTTTTTTTCTCGTATGAATTTCTTAAAAATATATTTTTTTTTCTTTGTTTTTTCTTTTGTTTTGTTGTTGTTTATGCTGCTCGGATGTTTTTGCTTTATTGGTATTTTCATACAACCGATGATGGCGACAGTACATCGATACATTCACGTTGGAGTAAATCCTGTGAAGAATTACCGGCAAAAGCTTATATATTAATAAAAAAAGCAAAAAAAGATTATAAAAGATTATTATCATCACATCGATCGGCACCATTTATTGATCCAGAATTTCCAACCAATCGTTCATCACTTTATCGTTTGAATGAAGATTTTGATCCAAGATATGATCGTTTAATTGCAAAATGGTTACGTATTGGTGAATTAGAATTTGAACGATCACCAAATGATATTAATGATGATGATGGTGGTGGTGAAAAATTTCAACAAAAATTATTATGTGTACATGATCAAACATTAAAAGTAACGGATTTTCGTCAAGGAAAATTAGGCAATTGTTGGCTATTAAGTTCATTAGCAAGTTTAGTTTATAATTATCCAGAACGTTTAAATTTAATAATACCGGATAAACAATTACATCCACGTGAATGTTGTTATCAGATAATATTATGTTTGGATGGACATTGGTCTTCGGTTATTATTGATGATTTTTTCCCATGTGATCAATCAGGTAGACTTGTATTTACTGAAGCATTTGGTCATCATTTATTTGCACCTATGATTGAAAAAGCATTAGCTAAACATTATTCTTGTTATAAAGCATTAATACTTGGTCATACAATTGAAGGTTTTTCAACACTAACCGGTATGCCTGTATTTACAATTAGAATTGATGCCAGCATTAGAAATTCATTGGAATCACGTCATGAATTTTGGATTCGTTTAAGAAATTTAATTAAAGTTGAACGTTATCTTGCTGCTGCATCATGTTCAACCGAAAAAGATGGTCTATTTAAAGCACATGCATATTCGGTTTTGGATATTTATATGAATCCACATACATTTGATTGTGATCAAAATGGTATATTATTAGCTAATCCATGGGGTGATCAAAAATTAACCGGTGAATTATTAGTTAATAATGATTATTTTCTAAAACAATTAGAACATAAACAACAAAATGGATTATTTTGGATTTCATTAATTGATTTTCTTAATTATTTTGATCATTTGGATGTTTGTAAATTTAGTAATGATTGGTATATAAGACGTTTTGAATTTCGTTTACCATTTCAAATTATTGATCGATATAATTTTACTATATTTGAATTAAATTGTCGAAGAAAAACGGTTATAAATTTTACTATTTATCAACGTATTGATCGTGATTTAAGATTGAAATATCGTCTTTCATTATCATTAGTTATATATAAAATTTGGGAAGATGATTCATTACAAACAGTAACAACAAGTCCAATTTTATCGGAAAAAATTGTTAATTTTGAAACACTACTTGGTCATGGTGATTATTTGGTCGCTATATTTGGTTTCAATCATTGGGGACTAACATCTAGATGTAAATTTTAATTTGTAATTTTATTTTCTTATAATTTTTTCTTATAATTTTTTTTTTAATTTTATAAAAAAAAATAGTAAAAGAAGCACCAAGATTAGTAATGGCAACACATTCGGATAAACAAATCGATTTAAATCCGGTTAATCCGGATATGCATCTTATGGGTGATTTACTTATACAAACAGCTATCGGTGTTGGTGAAATGAAATTAATGGAAGTTGCTGATTGTATTGAATATCGTTTAACAAATTTTGCTGCATTCATTTGGGTAGTGGAAAATCGTTCCGAATTACAATGGTTAATGGTACGATGGAATACAAATGATATACGTGATGCATTCAATCTACGATCAACAACACAATCATTAGATTTAATACCACCAAAATGTCGACAAATTATCAGTGTTATGGCTAGAGAAAGTGATAAACAAAGTTGTCAATATCATTTTACATTTCGTGCACAACAATTATCTGAACAATTATCATCACCAACAGCCATACAGAATCTGGAACCATTAGTTAAACAAACTAATGATGATGCGGATAAATTGTCGGTATTATTTGCACCAAGAATAATTCAATCACATTTGATTGCCGAAAAAAATCGTGGAAAAAGATTTGATTTTTCAAAAGAATCTGATTCAATGTGTATAATTTCCTGATTCAAAACAAACAAACAAACAAAAACAAAAACAAAAACAAATCAAATCAATCAATCAAATAAATAATTTCTATTCAAATAAAAAAAAAAGAATTTTTCGTTTTTCAAATTAAAATTGACCTACTATTTAAACACAAACATTGAATGTTGATTTATGTAAAATTTTTCTATTTTTACTTTGTCGATTTTTCTCCTATTCGAAAAAGTAATTTTCAAAAAAAAAGAAAAAAAAATGATGCGGCCATTGATCTTCTGGATGCTGATGACATTGATTTATGTGATTGAAAATATTGAATGTCAATTTATTTACAGCGATATCCCTTTAAAATGTTACAAGGTTAATATAATAAAATGTGTTGAATTTAATATGAAAAAATATTCAAATTTAAGTCATGATTTTGTAAGTATATTTTTT